TTCGTCTCACTACATGTCTTTGCACACACGTGTGTCTACGCGCACCGTAGCAGTAACATCTTTGTGTGTGGAACCATTCTTAGACCAGAAGCTAACAGAATTTTTTTTCCAAAGCATAGCCGACACAATACACTTTTAATCTGTGTTCGAACGAAGTAAACTTCATAATGAAAAATAGAGTGTAATGTTCCCTAACCATACCAGAAATATGTTTCTTGAGGCTTTTGTTGGATATGTACTCGAAGCAGAGCAACCTTTTTGGAATTTCAGCAAAAACATGCTTCCCACTTCCACTTGGTCTCTCAATTGCTTCCCATCTTGACTCAGCGCAGTAACCTTTAAGCTGCACTATGTTTTGGTGTTTGATCCCCATAAGATAACGGACCTCATTCTGAAACGTCTCCTCTTTTAATCGCATTTCAAACAGCTTCTTGACAGTGATGATTTTCCCAGTCCGGAGAACTCCCTGTGTTGTAAGTTAAATATCTCTTTTCATATATAGCACGTACATGTATCTTTGATTATGTACTGCTGGCAACAATTGACAAGTGAATTAAAAGAGGTCATACCTTGTAAACTATTCCATACCCGCCTTCGCCAAGTTTCGACTCTGTGGAGAAGTCACATGTGATATCTTGCAAAAAATCAAGTGGAAGAAACATTGGTGGTGCATTTGGATCCTGTAGCTTCTTCTCCAATTCACCATGTGCACTCGCCATTTCTGTCTAAACAAGGAACTATATGAGAGGGCATCTGTGTGGAAGACCGCATGTGTGGTTGTGTCCCGTTTGTGCATATATGGTGGTGGGGATGGATGGGGGTGTGGTGTGGGGAGGAAATGGAGCACTACCTGCAGTCGCTGCCGGATGCAAAAAGAATCCGTTTGTCGAACTGAGACGGCAATAGGTTAGTGCAGGATTCAAACAGAAGGGCTGAGAACAGAAAAAGAGAAATAATTAATGAACTAGAACCAAAATGAACTGAAGATTACAATATAAATTTATACATGGACACGACTATTAAATTAGAACTTCTGATCATGGATTATAACTTTTAACGATAAATGGTTTCCCCGATACATCCAGCTCCCTGGGGCTGCAGCACAGATAAGCCTAAAAGAAAAATAATAAGAAGAAAGAGAAATAAATGCCGACACCGGCAGATCAACGAAGAAAGGAAGACCGGCAACCGCTGCACCCTCTGATGAAGTACCACCACGTTCCCAGCATCTTGAAGCACCGCACCCCAAGCAACACCTTCAAGAAGGAATGCGACGATGCCGCCGCTGTTGCCTGAACAAGTTCTAGGGTTTCCCCTGGTACGCGAGGGATAGTGGGGAAGGGGTATACCCGATGCCCCTCAGGAAGGTCCGACGGCGCCCACAGGTGTCATAGCATCGGTGCGGCCAG